AAACCATCTGGATTGGGTTCAGGTCCGGTGACTGTGGAGGCCAGGTCATCTGCCGCAGCACTCCATCACTCTCCTTCTTGGTCAAATAGCCCTTACACAGCCTGGAGGTGTGTTTGGGGTCATTGTCCTGTTGAAAAATAAATGATCGTCCAACTAAACGCAAACCGGATGGGATGGCATGTCGCTGCAGGATGCTGTGGTAGCCATGCTGGTTCAGTGTGCCTTCAATTTTGAATAAATCCCCAACAGTGTCACCAGCAAAACACCCCCACACCATCACACCTCCTCCTCCATGCTTCACAGTGGGAACCAGGCATGTGGAATCCATCCGTTCACCTTTTCTGCGTCTCACAAAGACACGGCGGTTGGAACCAAAGATCTCAAATTTGGACTCATCAGACCAAAGCACAGATTTCCACTGGTCTAATGTCCATTCCTTGTGTTTCTTGGCCCAAACAAATCTCTTCTGCTTGTTGCCTCTCCTTAGCAGTGGTTTCCTAGCAGCTATTTGACCATGAAGGCCTGATTCGCGCAGTCTCCTCTTAACAGTTGTTCTAGAGATGGGTCTGCTGCTAGAACTCTGTGTGGCATTCATCTGGTCTCTGATCTGAGCTGCTGTTAACTTGCAATTTCTGAGGCTGGTGACTCGGATGAACTTATCCTCAGAAGCAGAGGTGACTCTTGGTCTTCCTTTCCTGGGTCGGTCCTCATGTGTGCCAGTTTCGTTGTAGCGCTTGATGGTTTTTGCGACTCCACTTGGGGACACATTTAAAGTTTTTGCAATTTTCCGGACTGACTGACCTTCATTTCTTAAAGTAATGATGGCCACTCGTTTTTCTTTAGTTAGCTGATTGGTTCTTGCCATAATATGAATTTTAACAGTTGTCCAATAGGGCTGTCGGCTGTGTATTAACCTGACTTCTGCACAACACAACTGATGGTCCCAACCCCATTGATAAAGCAAGAAATTCCACTAATTAACCCTGATAAGGCACACCTGTGAAGTGGAAACCATTTCAGGTGACTACCTCTTGAAGCTCATGGAGAGAATGCCAAGAGTGTGCAAAGCAGTAATCAGAGCAAAGGGTGGCTATTTTGAAGAAACTAGAATATAAAACATGTTTTCAGTTATTTCACCTTTTTTTGTTAAGTACATAACTCCACATGTGTTCATTCATAGTTTTGATGCCTTCAGTGAGAATCTACAATGTAAATAGTCATGAAAATAAAGAAAACGCATTGAATGAGAAGGTGTGTCCAAACTTTTGGCCTGTACTGTATGTGACTGTTGATGAAAGGGTGTTCATAGACATTGCTTCATTTCAAGTTGTCACAAGCCAGCGAGGCTGGGAGTCATTGCTAGCTGTCTGTCTTGACTTCATTCATTCAATCAGAAATTATATTCTTGACTGATTTTGACAACTAGTTTAAATGTTTAAGTCATTTCAATAAAATGCATATACTTTTTTTGTAATCAGTATGAAAAAATGGCACCATAGAGAGTTCAAGAAAAAACATTTTGTGATTACAGCATAAGGTTATCTTGTGAGTAATGTTTTTGTTTCTTTCCACCCAGTGTCCAACCTCTCTCAGCCTGGTACGTTTGCTGGCAATGACGCTATTGTGGCTTTTGCTCGCAGTCAGCAGGTGAAAGTGGTCATCCATCAGCTCAACACACCACTGTGGGAGGTAGGGAAAGAGGCAGAGGCAAAGATTTTCAAATGATGTCACTTAATCTAATGATGAAACATAACTCCCTCGGCACCCTACATAGTTTATATGTTCTGTTCTCATTGCAGATAAATGGTGCAGAGAAGCAGGTGTGTAGAGAGCTACACATCGCCTACCGCTACGGAGATCATTATGACAGTGTGAGGCGGATTGGAGACAACTCTGAGAGTCCTGCTCAGCTTCGCATAGAGGTATGTAATTCACAGTGCGCATTCAGTGGACCAGCGCTTGGGAAAATGTCCCCGTTCCAGGTCCACATCTTTACTGTCAAGAGTGCATCATGTCATGTTTACACCTATTGAGGGACCCTTTACTGATGTGTCTCTGATGTTTCCTCGCTATTGCTGAATAGAATCTGCAGAATTCACAAGGCCAGCAGCGCGAGTTTGGGGACGGTCAGAGGGACAGACAGAAAAACTCTTCCCCCACAGCTTCAGAGGAGGACAACGTGATCCTGAGCTCCATCAAGAATCGAGGAATCCAGGGTCAGAAGTTACACATAATTCGTTAGCTGCTGGAAAGATAAGACCGACAGGGCAAAAGAGAACAGCTAGGAATCAACTTTATCAAAGACTTTTTGACCATCATGCACTCAAGCTCTTCTATTCAGCTAAATTTTCCATTCATCTCATAGGAGGTGGACGATATATCCGTTATGCTCCATGTATCGTGGCTTGTTCCACATGGGATGTATAACATGATTATAACGCAAACATAGAATATAAATTGTCACATCATGTTTAAAGCCACTGGAACAAACATGATACATCACACGCACTCCCCTGCCCATCCAGACCTCTCGCTACTGGGCAATTGTGTGCAAGCAGCCGAGGATTGTGTTTATGTATCTGCAGGGCTCCAGACTGCGACCACTTAGTGGCATTTTTATACCAGTGCGTTTTACACACACATTGTTAATACATGAACTGGAGAGCTGTTAGTATGTTTCCCACTCACAGTGAATAAATCCTGACATTTTACGGTGCTATTACACTAACTTTCTGCTAACTGTGAACACCTAACTGTTGACCAGCAGCTTCAAGGTCACAGATGAAACATTAAGCGGGTGCTTCAGAATAAAAGCACCAGTGGTTCTGCTTAAATTCATTCATCAACAGTACTTTATTCAACTTTAATATAACAGTACTTTAACTTTATCATAGGAGTATGTTATTTAACTTGGTTGTAACAGGACTTTATAACAGTGCTTTAACTTTAAGTTGATACTTTATTTAACTTTATTATAACAGGATTGAATTTAACTTTATTGTAACAGTACTTTATTTAACTCAATTATAACATTACTTTATCTTAATCGTAACACTACTTTATTTAACTTTATTATGGCTGTACTCTATTATAGCTACTGTTTTTAACTTTAACGTAACAGTATTTTAACTTTATTGTAGGAGTACTTTATCTAACTTTATTATAACAGTACTGTATTTAACTTCATTGTAACAGTAGTCTATTTAGAAGTTAAGTATTTTTGTAGGTTATAGTAGATTAGAAGTGATTTCAAAATATCAAAATATATATATTGTGTATCGTAATATAGCCTAAAAATAATTCACAGGCCATATCGCCCAGCCATACATCTCATTAACACGCCAGTTTGCTTGACGTTGATGGTAATGATCGCATCACACTGATTGACTTCTATTAATTTGTTTATGTGTGTCTCAGGTGATGAGGAGAACCTGCTCCAGCTGAGTGCAGCAACCATCAATGCAGAATGGCTTGTTGGCTCCATGCTGGGCCAGTCCTGTCAGGGCCAGTGTGCCTCAGGATCCTGCTCAGCCTGCAGAGCTGTAGCCACAGACTGCAGTGAGCATAAACAGCCAGCAGAGGGAAGCAACATACAAAAACCAAAGGTAGACTCCCTATGCAGCCTGTCCTGCTAAGTTTATTGGAACCCAAGTCCATTTTTATTTCAGGTCTCACTTGAACTAAAAGGTAGTTTGTGTTTCCCTCACTGTCAGGTATCTAACAAACAGAGGAAAGAGCAGCAGCGGCACGAGAAGAAGAAACGTCAGGAGGAGAGGCATCGGCAGAAGTTTCTCCAGAGTAAAGGAAGTCAGGATCAGAACCAGAACCTACCAGAGGCTGTTACTTTAGTACCAGCTCTCAACACTCTCAGTATATAGACTGGAGCATGGCCAATATTACCTACTGCTACTCTAGCTACCGGGGGCTGACGCTGTTTTGCACATAGTCAAATTTGATTCAGTCACAGTGGATGACTTTTCCTAAAGAGAACCCTATAGTTTCTTCGCAAACGGTATAATGGTGCCTGCAAACTTGTGTGTGTGAGATGTGTGAGATGTGTGAAAGTTGTAAAAGAGGGAGAATGAAAGAGCACGACCTTCAGTGTTATTGTCGGGTGTTGACTTAATTCGATTCCTGGTTGGTGTTGGTGTTGACAGAAACTCCTCAGATCTGGTCCACTTCCACTGCTACCTAGCCCCTTTCTATGCTGGACATCTGGCTTTCCATGACAACCATGCAGGTAATCTCATGCAGCTGGGCTTTTTGATTTGCCACAGATTGAGTTTATTCAAATGTTCAGATCGTTCTCTTTGTTCAGTCTGACCAAAGGAGGAAGTAAAAGAAGAGTGGGAGATGAATGATTGTTACGCACACTGTGTAAGGAATGTGGCAATAAATAATAATAAATGATAATTTACTGTTTCTGTGCATCAGATAATATAGTACGTGTTATCCAGGGTGACATTTTTTTGTGTTTTTCAAACTAGAGGTAACTATATCTCAGGATGTTGCCCCCCTTGTGTTAAAAATTTCCTGTAATGTGTTACAGGGTATATAATGTTCGCCCAGTCTTAGCAATCAATATATGATCAAATATTTGACTGGCTGTTATTATTTAAGTAGCTTCAGCTTAGCTGATGACATTAGTGTTTTTTCGAATGGTAAGTGCGCCCTCAGTTCTTGGCATGTTGATAATTTGATGAATGGGGTTTCAGAATTTTCACGAGAACACCATGATTTCTGCCAAATTGGAGCCTGAGTTGACTGTGATGTAGCACTCAGAAGCTGCCTGTTTATCATATTGGGAGAGGGGACAACAGTTTGAATACAGCATCCCTTAATTCAGTTAAGAAACTGCCCTGTTGCATAAAGGAGTAGTAAACTGAGCCACAGTAATAAAATGATAAATAGAAGTTAAAATAAAACTGAAGAGACAATGGATTCCAAATAATTCCAAACAGTATAGGGATATCTGACATGACACAAGTCCAACCCACCACTAGGAAATATAAGAAATGTTTATTTTATTAAAACAGCATAAAAATGACATGAATGGAAGCCAAGGCGGGGCTCACAGAGAGAACTGACAGACTTGAAAAACTATGTACACTTAATTCTAAACACACCTGTGTAGGTAGATAGTTTTGAGGACTGAAACCTACAATGCTGGTATAAAATACTCTTTGTAGCGAGATCAGATAACGCTTGCTGAATAATGTCACTTGTGGCATTTCTGGAATGATGTTAAACAACACTTTGACAATACCACAAAGAGAATAGACTTCGTAATGTCAGGTACAAGAACAATATCAAAAGTTTGCTACTAGTCAAGCAAAGATATGATTTACTCCTTGTGTATTCAACTTTAAGTTTGTAAGAAGATGAATGTCTTCTATGTGGTGCAAACCATACGTCGTCTAGCAAATAACAGAGCATAACAGTTTCTTGCACTGTGTTGACTGAAACTTTCTTGTGGGGATGCAAAATAATATCGGCACATTATCTGTATATGTCAACATTTGTCTAAAATGAACTACTGGAATCAGCCAACATCATCGTTATCGGCCAATATCGGCTTTACAATGAACTATCAGAATTGACCAACATGCTTTCTTTGCACAGTGAATGAATGAATATTACATACATTGAAAAACATTGTGCTCCATGTCTCCATCTGCTGGTGGGCCATCATGATAACAGTATGCATGCATAATATGATGTTAATTCCACTACAGAAGGGACTTGATGATCACTAAAATTATATATATATATATATATATATATAAATATAAATTAGTGTTGGTTCTCGGCCAAATAATGTTATATATTAGCATATGGGATATCAGCAAAGAAGAAGAGACAAAAATGTGTGTTGTCATTGAGGTTTCTGGACCACTCCTGAATGTCAGTGATTTAACGATACAGCTGAACACGGCGGTTTCAAATCTCCTCCATACAGGTAACTGTCCTCCCTCAGGTTGCTTCTCAGTGCAGTCAACTACGAAGACAAGATGACATCATTCCAAATGAGGGACCATTAAGCGAACATCAGTGCTACAAAAGGTGTACGCTGCTGCTGCTTTAGAAGTCCTGTCGGATGTTCTCCTTATTCTCGTCCCCCTGCTGTTGTCTGAGCTGAGTTATTTCGTTCTCCAGCTGGACGATGGCTCGCTCGATCTCGTAGTTCTTACTGACCAGAGACACCCAGCTGTTGACGGACAGATACAGATGTTATCTTACCTACATATTCCCAAGTGCAGCAATATAAACATAATAACTCTTCAAACAACATACTTTGACTCCAGCTCTCGCAGTTTGCCTCCTCCTGCTAACTGATCATTCTTACGCTGCCAGTTTAAATCTTGAATTTGCTTCCTGTGTGGCAAAAAAAAGTGTAACCAGTAAATACTGTACGTGAAAACTTGTTTATTAACACTTAAATACAGCACAAATGTTCCAGTGATCAGTCACCTGAATTTCTGAAGTTCCTTTTGAGCCATCTCAATCATGAAGGCAAGGTTACTGAAGGAGGGAGATAAGATGACATGTTAGCAGTCTTTAACCATGCACTGAAGTAACGTCTGTGAGAAACGGCTGCTGTCACATACTCGTTGTAGACTTTCCATGCGTTGGTTCCATACTGCGACATGAGCTCCAGGTTCTCAATTCGGACCGCCTGGTGCTCTAGCTGAGCCATCGAGTTGTTCACACACTCCTGCCATGCTGTGATGTCATTCTTCTGTCCTGATGAGGGTGCTGGCAGCTCATATCTCCACAGGAGAAAAAGACAGAGGAAATTAACAATATTTGAAGCCACAAAGCAAAAAATGATTATGAACAATTTTTTAATAAAAATGCACCCATCCTATCATTTAAAACAACTGCAGCTAATGATTGTTTGCATTATCTATCACTTATTTTAGTTTTCATCATTAATTATAAACAATGTCATACACGCCTATAACAAATATTTTCAATTTATTACAGTATTTAAATGAGCACTGACAGTGAATCACATGCACACACTTTCAGTAATTATTTAACAATTGAGCAAAATACACACTTCCCTTCTTTTGTTTAGATAGTTCCCATTTTAGGGCCGTTTGGTGTGCACTTGTGGACAAAACTACAGGTGTGAAACCTCCCTGAACAACAGGCTGGACAAAACAACTGAACCCTGGTCTGACAAAAAGAGGTGGTCTGGGTCCGGATCAAACTGAGCCATGATTCGATTTGTTTCTGGTGTGAAAAACTTTTTTGTGTGGTTTGGACTTACGAACCAATAACAGGAAGTTTTGGCAGGCTAAAGTGATGAAAGTAGTGCGTGTGTGTGGTTTAGTGACAGGGACAGTGACGGTGGCTGCGCTCAGAGCAGACAAGTGAACAGAGCACAGGAGAAATTAGCAGTAAAGTGGTGGTAAATGTACAGTGTAGGTTTCAGTTTGTCCATGAACAACGCAGCGTAACAAAATGAGCCAAGGAAGCACATGAGAAAGGAGCAGAGACTTTATAAAGAGTGAGTTGGAAAAAGCTCACAAAAACTCGGACACTTCTTTTCGAGAGGATGAGAGAAAGAGGAGAGGAGAGGAGAGGAGAGGAGAGGAGAGTCGTCTACTTCTTCTTTGGTTCTGACTTTCGGGTGTGCAAAGGCTGTCAATTTTTTTGCTATTTGCTGAAATCCTACTCTGAATGATAACTTGAGGAAATAATTGGTAGATTAATCAATAATGAAAATAACAACTGGTTGCAGCTCTGTTCGTAACTGGCTGATTTCTTGGCCTCTGGCAGGGGTGCATCCCTAGTCTTTTAAATTACATCCACGTTTCCCTCACTTGTATTAGTCCCTCCCACTGGGAATGCATGGAGGGTCACAAGGAAACCATGTGGGGAAAAAGGAAAGGAGGAAATATGTTTTTACAGAAAGAAGACATTGTCTCCTCAGAAGTGTCGGGTAAAGCGATGTCTGTTTCCGATGACAGCAGCAGCTGATCATAACTGGATCAGTTGTCAGTTGGCTTTAGTAGCTGTAGAGACTTGATGGAGTTTGTGTTTGCACATGCATAAAAGAATTAGCCTATATATAATTAAGACGCACAGTTATCACTGCCAGAGCAGCAGTGTTTACTCTCAGTTTAAGACGCTGTCACATTGATAACATCATGCTTTTTGTATTTATGCCGTGTCCTGCTCAGAGGCAGATAATGAGTTTATATTATTAACTGATTATTTGCATCTGTATTTATTGATATTCAGATTGTGAACTCATTATCTAATAAGTCAAGACATGATTATGGTGTATTTTAAACAGTGGGAATTATTCATTATGCTAAATGTTTCAGGGAAAATTGATTGTGTAACTCACCAAACCCACAGTCAAGAATCATCCGCCTCACATGTGACCGAATGGAGCAGACAGACTCTGCTACTCTCTGACTTTAGTTGTATCCAAAATGAAAGTTAATAGGAGAAATTACAGATCGTGATTCTTTTGTAGTTCAGACCTACAATTTATACATTTGATTTTTAAACTGCAAGGTGAGTCAGAAAACAAATAAAATATAAAACTTGGCAGTGATACACCTGAGTTTAATCCCTTATCTGTCTTCACTCCAGCATGAAACTGAAGTATGACGAGTTGTATCAGATCAGTCAGATCAGCGGCAGTGTCCAATAATCTAATACAGGGGCGCAGGTAGTTAAAAGACCTACCCTAGATGTCTGTCTAGTGTGCAGACTCTATTCCGGCTTGTCTAAGTCTTTGAAACTCAGTTACCACACCCTGCTGTTTGCCTTGCAGCAGCACAAGTATTTTGCGACATATTTTGGATCATCTAGGCCTATTTCCATTAACTGAATTCACCTACTGGTTCATCAAAGGGTTAAATCTACTCATAAAAAAGTACTTGGACTTCAGGGCATTCCTAAAGTGAATAACCTAGAAAATATATTCATTGCTGAAAATACTACAGTACCTCACTCAGTAATGATTAAGGACTGCACTGAGGTACTGAAAGTTTTGCTCATTTCTTACTGCATAAGATAGGGGTGAAACTCTCTGCAAAGTATTATCACCATGTTGGATGCAGCAGTATTTTTGCATGACTATGTGTGTGTATAATGTGCCTAAGCAGGATGTTGATGCAGGTGTTCTGCTGCTCTAAACACAGGCCCCTGCAGAGTGTAAGGGTTTACCTCTTCATGCTCAGGAGATCCATAGGCTGCCGAGCCGCCAGCCGCTCAAATTCATTCTTCATAATTTCCGTCTAAAGGGGGAGGAAAAAACATAAGAAATGCTGTTATTTCTGTCACACTGACGCTGAGGCTGAAGCTGTGAAGAAAGATTTAGAGGTTGGAGGGGTTTGTCACCTCAAAAGCAGAGAAGTCCGGTGTCGGCAAGTAGCTCAGGTAGTTCTTGGTAGGTCGGTATCTTCTGGTCTCCTCCTCCACCAACGCTGCAGCCTAGAAGATACACCATCATTTTTTTTGCACAGGAAAAGCACTGCAGCTACTGAGAAATTAACTTTTATCAGTTTTTACCGTTCTGAAAATCCAACGGTACAGTTAATTTTTGGACTGGATGTTGCAGATCATTTTTCAGGTTTAATTTCATTATAT